CCCACAGGGTTCTCAGTGGGTGATTTTTCATAAGTAGATCCCACTCCATGTGTGTCAGAGTAGAACTGTGCCCACAGGGGTCCCAGTGGCTACATTTTTTTCAGGCAAATCACCAGGCTTTTCTTCTGAGGCACTTCTGGATAGACCGGTTAACAGTCAAGAATCTTAACCCTTTGAGTCACCCATGGGCATGGAAAGACCCAACTATCCCTCATTTTGTGATCCTACCCTTTCTGTCTTATTTGGCAATACATGTTCCTGGTTTCTTCTTCTCTTTTAAAATCACTTATTTTATAAAATAGGAAATAGGTCATCTTTTGTTAGTCTTGAGAATTAAAAAAAAATTTTGTTTTAAACTGGTCCATTAAAATTGCAAAAGCTAGAAATCATGTATAAGAGGGCTTCAAAAATTTGTGGGAAAATGGAATGAAATGCTAATGTTCCGCTAACTTTTTGAAGCCTCGTGGTACTCGGACGACCTATGTTATTTTGGAGTTAGGAAGACGGGTTAGGGTCCTTACCAGGCACGCCCCCACTGCCCTTGAGACGCAGGCTGACCGTTGGTGACGTGGCCCGGGATCTTGGTTTTGGGAGCGTTGGGCTGGGCGTTTGCAGCCATTGGGCCCTGGAAGAAGGAGACACAGACTAACAGATGGGGCCTGAGATGAACACACAGCACCCTGCTGAGGGTCTGCAGACTCAGCCCCTCCACACCCCTTCTGAGTTTAGGCAGACACGTGATCCCCGCACCCAGAGGGCAGCAATGGTCTCCTGTGTCCACTTCCCAATTCTGCTCAAGCCCTTCTTCACCCACATGTGGAGGGACGTTCCTCTCGGGTTCCAGCGCTCGCCCCCCACCCACCAACCACTGCACAATCTGGACTCATGGGACCCTAGCAGGCACAGAGCTGCCCCACGGGATTTCCAAGGTTGGCATCTTTATGAAAGTATACCATCATCCCATCTTTCTCCCTGAAGAGTGGCTGGTGGCCTCGAACTAGTGACCTTTCTGTTAGCAGCGAGTGCTTAACCTCTGTGCTACCAGAGCATGGCTAATCCCATTCATCCTGAGCTCCTGGCTCCTGCCTCCAGGACTCTTCACAAGTGTCCCCTCCTCCGGGAGACCCAACGACCTCACCAGCCAATCGGAAGTGGATGTAGCCCGTCCCAGACCTATGTACTCGACCTGCTGCCCTGCTTTCTAGGGGACCCTGGCCACCACCTGGAAAGACGCATTTGTTTGAACTTCCAGTGTCTGTCTCTCCCCATGTGCAGTGAGTCTAAGCTCAGAGGCAGAAATCCAGTCTGGTCCACCCCTCTATTTTCAGCACCCGGGACATCAAAGACGTTCTGTAAATATCCCGGCCGAGAATGAGAGAAGTGGAGTTTCTCCACATCCCTAAAACTGCTCTCTGTCCTTAAGTGCTGTGAAGTGTGCTCGAACTTACAATAACTCTGATAGGGTTTCCGAGGCTGTGACTCTTTGTGGAAGTAGAAAGCTTCACCTTTTTCCCAGGGAGCGGCTGGGGAGCTCGAACTGCCCACCTTGTGGTATAAAGTCTAGCACTCATCATACAGAGCCACTGGGCTCCCTTACAAAGCTCTAAAAATCCCCAAACCTCCTGCCATGGAGTCACTTCCACTTCACAGAGACCCTAGAGGACAGGGGCGGAATGCCCCCGAAGCGTTTCTAGGGCTGTACATGTTTTCAGAAGGAAATCGCCACATCTTTTTCCTAGGTAGCGACTGGTGGGCTTGAACCATCATCCTCTGACTAGGAGCCCATCGCTTAACCCATCGAGCCACCAGAGCGCCTTCTCATTACACAACCCAAATCCCCACTGCTGTTGAGTGAACTCCAACTCACAGAGACCCCCACAGGGCAGAACAGAACCGCCCCACTGGGTTCCTGAGGCTACACATCTTCCTCCATTGTAGCAGCTGGTGGGTTCAAACCTGGGAATGGTCGCTTAGCACTCAGTGGGCTCCCCTCCAAGCTGCTCTAACTGGGGGAGAAGGGGTTGGGGGGAAGGATACTTCCAGAATACATCCATTGCTCATGAGGCTTTCCAATGTCAGAGGTCCAAATGATGGTCTGGAGAGATTTCAGGAAGGAACGTCAAGACTGAGAATGAAGCGGATTTCAGGAAGACCACGAGGGAAAACTTTAAAACATTCTGAGGGAATCTCTTTCCAAAGGAGAACGTGGTTCTCAGGTTTGCTATTACTCAGCAAGGAAGACTCAGCATCCGGGAGGAAGGGGACCCCTGAAAGCTGCCGAGGACACCCCCAGGGGAAGGTAAGAGGACGTCAACACAGCACCAATGGTGAAGGGATGAGTGGACAGAAGTGATCAACAATGCTGTCAGCTCTGTTGGAGCACTGCGGGGAATGGGGGGGACAAAAACGAAGAACGGGAGCAGAGACTTCAAAAACAGGAGAAACAAACTCACAGCTTCCTTCTTCCAGGATTCACAAGTTTTCCGTCTTTGACGAGATGCACTTCCCTATTGTTGGTTTTGCTGGAAGATACCGGAGGTTTCCTCTCTGATGGGTTTCTGCTTTCACGGGTTTTACTGTGCAACAGGTAAAATCAGACCAAACCAAACACCAGAATCATTATTTGGCCCAGCAGATAGTAACAGCAGCTCTGTGCTAACCCTGAGAACGAATTCTTGGCTATATGGAAGGGAATTTGTAGAGATAAGGTGGTAACTTATTTAGAAATGCTGTTAAGTGGCGCTGAGTCAGTTACAACTCATAGCAATCCTGTATAGGATTTCCAAGGGGCAGCTGGTGAGTTTGAACCACTGACCTTGTGGTTCAAACTGACCTTGCAGTCCAATGCTTTATCCCACAGCACCACACCAGGACTCCTATTTAAAAACAAGCCTGTAAAAACCACCACAATGTAGACAAGAGAATGAAAGGCGTTTCCCTCTGGGAAGCCAAACCTTGGAAGAGGTATGCCATCTAGTCGGTTCCATCTCATAACAACCCTGTAAACAGTTACCAAGGAGCATAAGGTGGGTTTGAACTGCTGGCCTTGTAGTTGGCAGTCCAGAGCTAATCCTACAGTGCCACACTAGGGCTCTGATACTGGGGATGTTGTTGTTGTTAAGTGCCAGCAAGTCAGTTCTGACTCATAGCAGCCCTGTATAGGGTTTCCAAGGAGCAGCTGGTAGGTTTGAACCACTGACCTTGTGGTTGGCAATCTAGTGCTTATCCAACTGCACCAGCTTTGGTATGAGCTTTTATAATACTCTGATTTGTTTGTTTTTTCACCATGAGCATAAATTACTTCAATAAAAATTGACATTAGTTTTTAATACATACGTAATTGCTGAAGGGCATTTTCACAGGGGGGTGTGAAATATGGCTACATCACGCTCAATTATAGTTCTCAGAGGCTGATGGGGCGCCTGTGACAGACAAAGTCGTGTCCAGAATAGGTTCTTTGTGGGGAAAGCCACTCCTCTCTACAACCCCAACCACTGAAGAGGGTGTGTCAGCTAAACCCACTGTTGGCAAGTTGATTCGGATGCCAAGAGGCCCTGAAGGACTCAGCCAAAGCGCCCTGCGTTTCTCATCTGTACAAAAACAGACTGCCTCAGCTTTGTCCTGCATAGCAGTTGGTAAACTCCAGAATCCACTGCACTGGCCACACAGAACTCACATTACTCACAATGACAGGGTTTGTTAAGGAAGCAACAGATTACAAGGTTACAGTTTAGGATCAGAACGGCCTGTCAGTCTGGCCTCGGGCCTGCTTGAGCACTGTTGGGAAGTTTTGTATGATTCTTCTATTTCCGCTGCCACCATGGCTACCCTCAGAGCTCTGTCTCTGTTGTCTCTTGGGCCTAAGGGGCTCGAAGCACAGGGAGGAACCTCCAGTCAAAGGACGTGTTCCATTCCCAGCTCTTCTTTCTTAATGGTAACGAGGTCCCCTGTCTGCTCTGGGATTGGCTTCTCTTTTTAAGTTTAGCGTATGGTTAAATTGACCAATCCCCTACAAGGATTCCACACACTTTATTTACATAATCCACAAACTACCCAATCCCCTTGGTGGGTCACATACACCTTATTTGCATAATTCCACTCAACTGTGTGGAAATCACAAAGAATATAGCTCATTGTTGTTGTCGGAAGTACCATCGAATTGGTCCCAACCCATAATGATACTGTATAGGCTTTCCAAGGAGTAGCTTGTGAGTTCGAACTGCTGACCTTGCAGTTCAAACCAACCTTACGGTCCAGTGCAGTATCCCACATCACCACACACCTGTCAAATTGGTTCCAGCTCATAGTGAACCCATGTACAACAGAACAAAACACTGCCCAGCCCCTGCGTCATCCTCACAGCAATTGCTAGGTTTCAGCCCATTGTCCCTGCCAATGTGTCAATCCTCCTCCTTGGGAGTCTTCCTCTTTTTCACTGACCCTCCACTTTACCAAGCATAATGTCCTTCTCCAGGGACACAGTTTCTCCTGAGAACATGCCCAAATGATGAGAGACCAAGTTTTACCATCAGTACTTGTAAGGAGCATTCTAGCTGTACTTCTTCCAAGACATAATTCAAATGTATAGATTCTTCTATGGTCTTCTTTCTTCATTGTCTAACTTTCACATGTATATGAGGCTATTGAAAAAACCATAGCACCTTAGTCCTTAAAGTGACACTTTTGTCCTTAAACACATTAAAGAAGTCCTTGTGTAGTAGATCTGCCCCGAGCAATATGTCATTCTGATTTCTTAAGTGTTGCTTCAATGAGCACCGATTATGGATCATGGATCCAAGCAAAACGAAGTCTTTGACAACTTCAATCTTTTCTCCATTTACCATAATGTTACTTATTGGTCCAACTGTGAGGATTTCTGTTTCCTTTATGTTGAAATGTCACCCATACCGCGGGCTGTACTCTTTGAGTCTCATGAGTAAGTGCTTCAAATCCTCTTTGCTTCCAGCCTGCACAACCATAGCTAAAAGGACCAGATTAAGTTGTTCCCTGCACGTCATTTCCCATACAGAAAGTTACCAAAAGGGAAATGACTCTCTCCATTGCTCCAGGTTATAGATAAGAATCTTGGAGATAATTCCTAACACCAACATCACCTTCCAATTATGTAACACCTGGAAAAGGGCCAGGACACAAACCAACTCAGAACCTGGTGTGGCAAGCCAGGCACAAGATGGGCCATGAGGAGAAACAGTATCTTTTAGGTATGACAATAAAGCCAAATGAGTATTTTGATCTCATAAAAGAGTTCACACCTCAGGAGAGCAACCCTACTGTGCCAATGAACTTGGCCGTGAGTGAGCGAGTTCCACCCTAGGCAGCAGACGGCTGGAAGTCGCGGTGTGCAATGTTCTTGGTGAATTGTATCCTACCTCTAGGACTCAAAAGCCCTGGTAACACAGTAGGTGTCAGGCACTGAGCTGGAAACCGAAAGGTCTGAGGTTTGGGTCCCCCAGTAGCTCTGAGGGAGTCGGCTTCTGTACAAGTTTCCAGCCTCAGAAATCCCATAGGGGAAGTTCTGCTCTGTCCTAGACGGTCTGCTGTATGTTCGAATCAATGCACTGGAGTCGGGCTTTCGGTTGACCCATGTAGAAGAAATCCTG